AGGTTGAAGGGAAATGCTTAATATGTATATTAATCAATTTTTAATTATTTGGTTATTGACTATTTTGTCATTAAATCTTCCTGCTCTCCCTTCTCTGAGGGTTTGGGAAAACCTACTGAGACTTAAAAAGTAGTGTAGGGGGAATAGCAACTACAAGGTCACTCAGGCTTAAGGACTTGGCTGGTGCCAATTTCTGTACTCAGAACTCAACTCACTTAGCATCACAGCAAATTGTCATCAAAACCCTCATAGTCCTATTTCATACATGTAGAAACTGAGGCCCCAAGAGATAAAGACTCAAGAGGTCATACAGCAAGGAAACACCAAGTCTAGACTACTCAGGTAGTCGGACCCAGGAGTCTGCTCTCTTAATCAATGTTACTTACACACACACACACACACACACAATCTTCTCTCTGCTCTCACTTCTTTCCAGGGCTCCCACCCCTTGGTCCCCTGCACCCACACGTGCTGTGAGGAAATGATGAAATACGTGTTCGGTTGGATTGACAAGCTCAAATAAGGAAGTGTCAGCAGCTCAGCTGAGAATAGAGCCAGAGAACCTCAAGTCTCCATCTTTCCATTCAAGCTCTCTAATCCGAAATGCTTCACTGGGGATTTGCAACCCTAAACTCCAGGGTTTACGCAAATGGCCCCACCTTCACAGCCTGGAATGGCGGATGTTTCCTGCTCCTGAGTAAAAGAGCAAACACCAGAGGGCTGACACCCATCTCCCATCTGCTTAATGGGTACCTGGTCTCCTGGCACCTTTTTTTTTTCTCCTGACTCCTGAACCTTCCTGGGATGGGTCAGCTACTTCTTCAAGGACTTCCTGGAGTTTCTTGCATTCTTTTTTCTTTTAAATTCACAGAGCTACAGATTCATCACAGTTTTGTCCGGAAGGACTTGTTAAAGAATAGAATCATGATACTATTGTTCTAGGGAATTGAGATAACGGGGTGTTTATGTAGAAAGAAGCCCCATATTATACCCTGAACTTAGCTCCAGGCATCCAACTGTCATTCATAATCTCAGGGCACAGACTCTGCCACATATCAGCCTGCAGTTATGCTCCCATTTAACCCTTCCACAGCCTAGGGAAGTGAGTGGATGGTGTCAGGCCATGTTACAGGGAGGACAGTGAGGCCTTTAAAAGGGCAGCATCTTGCCCAAAGTCATGCAGCTGGTCATCAGTGGAACAGGACATAGAATGCAAGGCTGACTTATCTCACAGCTGGTGCAGTTAGTGAATGCAGTAAACTTCTAAGCAAAAGGTTGACCGTTAAAGTCCAACCAAGATCCTCTTGGGAGGAAGGTCTGGCCATCTCCTTTCACAAAGGTCATATGCCAAGGAAAACCTCCTGAAGCCGTTTGACCCTCTAACACATGGAATTGTCATGAGCCAGAATTCAACTCCAAATCAACACATTTTGTTGGTTTATCAAGAAACATTAATGGATATTTTTTTAGGTCATTTTCTATCAATGTTCCAAGCATGATCTCCCAATAACCCCACAAAGTGGCTCTCAGCTCTTCTTAGCACAGATGAGGAATCTGAAGTCTGGAGGGTTGGAGAGACTTACCCAAGGTCACTTGTCCAAGGATTTGAACCAGGGCTCTTTGCTCCTGAATCTATCCTCTTCTGCCAGGACACATATGCAGCCTTCTTACTTAACGTCAGAGGTTGTCACCGGCCCACTAACTGGCTGCACAAACTTTGCATCAGCTCCTTACTGACCTGCCTCAATTTCCTCATAAAGAAAGAAGGGGTCGGGCCCAACCCACCAGAGTCGTTACCCCACAGCAGCAGCAGCCTGAACTTTCACAGAAAATGCACTACTCCCTCTCTGTGTGTCCTTGTAAATTATCCACCGACTCAGATCCTCAGTCTGCTCATCTGAGGTCCGTTACTGTTATGTGCTGTTGAGTAGATTTTGGCTCACAGCAACCCCCGATAGAGTAGACTAACCCCATAGAGTTTTCTAGGCCTTGTGGTGTTTTTGTAGGAGTGAGTCTGTCTCTTCCAAAGCAGCTGGGTAGGTCCGGACTGCCAACCTTTTTGTTAGCAGCTGAGTCTTAACCACTAATGATAGAAAAGTTTCCATAAGTTTCAACCATTACTGATTAACTTCCCCCTGTGTTTCCAATTAAGTCATTGTTTGAAAGGGTCTAAGTATTCTAACTCCATGAATGGAGGGGAGGTAGTCTTGGAGGGATATCTCACTGCCTCTATGTCTCTTGATTTCCAAATCTGTCAATCAAAATTATGGTGACATCACTGTTTGGCTACAGCTGCTGGTGACCACACCATTTGTTCAGTTACACTGAGCCACAAAGGCTGATTATCTGACTTACAGGGTAAAAATACCAGCCACTCCTGATGAGGACAAGGTCTGAATACAGACTGTAGTTCAAACCTGGCATTTAGTAGGTGTTCAGTAAAAGTTCATTTCTTTCTCTCTCCTTTCTTGACTCAAAGGTATAAGGTTTGCAGGGTAGAATCTATACTCACCAGTCGACCTTGCCCTCTATGAGCTTCAACTTTTCCATATGTCCAATAGACTCCAAAGCCCCAAGTCCTGACAAAAAAACCTTAGCCTTCATGGAAGGGGGTGGAGCAGAATACAACCCAGGGGACACAGAATCCCTCACACATAGAATTCTGAAAAGAGGCTTCAAGAATATGAAACAGGAAGCATGAGAGCATGAAATCCACAGATAAGGGGAAATAGAATGGCCTAGAGCAGGGGGAAGGACTCCTATCTCTCAGCCTATTGATAAGAAATGGGCCTCAAGGGAGCTTGTCCAACTTCTCACTAACCGTGTGGACGTAAGGTGTCACCTCCCACTCTAAGCCTTGGTTTCCTCCTTATAAGATGGCAGCACTTATTCTGGCCTCACAAAATGCTGAGAATTCATGAGACGCTGTGTGTGGACAAGCCACACAGGGCCTGGTGCACAGCGAGAGCTCAGTAAGTGGTGACCAACATTGGCTTTTATTGTTACTATAGTCTAAAGAGCGAAGTTCTGCTTTGCCTCCTCTCTGTGTCTTTGGACCACTTGTCCCCTTGGGTCTAAGTTTCACCTTTGCAAATAAGAAGCAGTAACCCTCCCTCTAGGGTTTGCTGTGAAAACTTATAACCCCTCACATGTGACTTTCCTGCAATTATTGTTTATTGTCATCAAGTCACAGCTGATTTATAGCTGACTGCCACTTCAGTGTGTTTTCAGAGGGTGTAAATCCCAAGAAGAGACTGTCCAACTTTATGCCTCAGAGCCACTCTTGAATTCAAACCACTCGCCTTTGGGTTGGTAGTACAACTTCTTACCCTCTAGGTTATCAGAGCTCCATGTAATTGTCATCGTTGTTCTGTCATGTTAGAATTGATTGTCCATTTTTCTCCTATGTAACAGTTCGTGGATTTGAACCATGTTCCTTTAGGTTGCCACTGTAATTCCTTACCACTAGGCTACCAAAGCTCACTGGGCTACAAGAGCCCCATGCAGTAGAGGCTTAGAAAACAGAGTTCCCTGCTGAAGAACTGAGATACCTCAGATGTACAAAGTTCCGATGCAGTTTCATTCTTTCTAATACTTTGGGAGCTTAAGTCCACCATCAAAGAAAAGAACTGAGCAAGGAATGGAAAAAGTCTCCTATATGAAACTGGGGACCCCTTTCAGGTGCCACGGCTGCCTCAGCCAGTGATCTCCCAGACCACCTCAGAGTGGCTCTCCCAGCCTCGTACCTGAAACCATGAAGTCTTGAGTAACAGCCCATCTCAAATTTTACTCTGTTTGTCTATCAGATGGCTTCATTTTCTCATCTGCTAATGTGATTGGCAATTATTTACCTTGGAGATCCCTGAAAGACACCCTCAGGTTGCAGAATTTGGAATTATCTAGACACCCAGCATCCCAGCCCACATTTCCTGATTCCCACACTATAAAAGGGGCTGCCTCCTTGGCAGAAGCCAGCAGGGGAGGGCAGAAGAGATCAGGAAAACGCAAGGTCTCTGAGAAGTCCAGGTGAGACCTACCCATTTTACTCTCAGTTCCTTGGGTGGTGGGGCTCCTGGAGCTGCTTTTTGGGGGCAGACTCCACTTGGGGGTCACTCACTCTTTCAAGAGAGGCAGCTCTGGTCCTATTCTAGGGGGTAAAAAGAATGGTCATTTATTCTACTCTCGCAAGAGCCTAGTAAGTGCCACAGAAATGTTTCACAACAGAGAGTTTGATGATGATGATGATGATGATGATGATGATGATGATAGGAGCAGGTCCCTGCAAGAATAAACTACTGAATTGTTACGCTTAGAACATTCTAAATCAGACCTTAAGACAACCTCTCTAAGGCAAGAGCTCAACTTGAGATTGCCATTGGGAATTAATTAGGATTACCTGTGAATCTCCTAAAATTATACATTTAATTTTGTACATTTGGGGTTAGTGCAAGAATGCCCTACTTCACCTCCAGAGTTGGGTGGTGACTATTTTTTTTGGGGGGGGGAAGGTGTTTATGTTTGATCCAATTTTCCAAAACTTACATTCTTAGCTTCTATTGGGTTTTTCAGGGATCTGTTGCCTAAAAGAGATTTAGAACCTCCAATTCAGGTTTATCTCCCTGGGGAAGCCTCCAACAGGCCTCTCCCAGAGAATTACAGTGTTCAATTTTCGGCCACATCAGGCAGCTGTAAACATCAAGGAGCTAATAATTGCCATAGGGTAGGTTCTGGCTCTGCTGCTTGACATCTTTGACTCCTGTGGATGCTAACTAGGTCTGTGGCAGGATTAGTGGTGACTGGGTGGAAGGTGGTTCAAAAGGCCAACAAAAAAAACATCAGGGGTTGCTTCAGAAAGTAATTCATCAGCTTGAAGAAGGAAAGGTAGTTTGAATGTTTGCGTCTCTGATGGTCTAGTGGGTAACCCAAAGACACACGTTTTGAAGCCACCAGCTGCTTTGCAGGAGGAAGATGGGCAATCTCCACCTGTTTTTATTTACAGCCTCTGTAACCCCTCTGGAGGGTCACCTGTGGGTTAGTTCTAACCTGATAGCAATGCACAATATTGTTTTTGCATATAGCATGGGGGGAAAGGGCAGAAACCCGCCTCGGGCCACAACTCGGCCATTGATTTTCTGTGTGACCATTAAAACATCACTACTACACTTTGGTCCTGTGATTCTCCACACATTATGAAAACTCTGGATGGCCCCATGGTTTCCTCAGATCAAGCCTGAAAGAAATAGTAGCTATGGCCATGCAAACTCTGATAGTCTAGCACTTAGGAGACTTACACAAACCACCAAGGCCTAGCCCTGAACTAGAAAGTTTAGTATCTTGTCCCCTTGGTGATGGAGGGCAGAGAGGAAACAAATTCTGTTATCCATGCCGCAATGGACACATCATTCTCTCCATAGATATCAAGAAAGAAGATGTTTCAAATTGGGAGCCTCATTGTCTTCGGGCTGCTGACTCAAACCAAGGCACAGCTTGAAGGCCTGGGCCTGGGCCTGGGTCAGGCTTTGCCCCTGGGTCAGATTCTGTCTTTGGGTCAGATTCTACCCCTGGGACAGGCTCCGCCTCAGGGCCAGGCTCCGCCTCAGGGCCAGGCTCCGCCTCCGGGTCAGGCTTTGCCTCTAGGCCAGGCCCCACCTCTGGGACAGACTCCGCCCCTGGGCCAGGCTCCGCCTCCGAGTCAGGTTTTGCCTCTACGCCAGGCTCCAGCTCTGGGCCAGGCTCTGCCCTTGGGCCAGGCTCCGCCTCTGGGCCAGGCTCCGCCTCTGGACCAGGTGTTGCCTCTGGGCCAGGTGTTACCTCTGGGTCAGGCTCCACCTCTGGGCCAAACTCTGCCTCTCGGGCAGGCTCTGCCACTGGACCACTTGCCCTTACCTCTGGACTCAGTTCAGTCCTTAGTTCCTACAGATCTTGCTGGAAAGTTGACAGGTGGTAAGTGAAAGTCTTTCTTGTGTGGGGGTAGGATGTAAGCACAGATGAGTGGAACAGAGGGATAGAGAAGGTGGAACTGTCTAGTCTGATTCCTGGGGGCCTTTGTCTCCACTTCCAGCTCTTACCAGTGGCCTGCTCTCCGGGGATCTGCTGGGCATTCTCAAAAACCTTCCCCTGTTGGATATCTTGAAGACTAAAGGAAGCAACTCCGGTGGACTTGTTGGGGGCTTGCTGGGCAGACTGACTTCGGTGGTCCCCCTACTGAACCAACTCATTGAGTGAGTCACCCTGAAAGAGGACCTTGGCCCCCATCAGGGAACCCAGCTGGAGATCTGAGAGATCCAGGAAGTGGCCCTGAAGGAGAGAAGGGGACAATTTGAATACAGGGAAGAATGAAGTCCTGAGACCTTTCTCACAATCTAACCAGGTGCCCCAGCCTGTTCACTTGTACCAATAATTACCCCCAGTCCTGAACGCTTCACGAATTTGCGTGTCATCCTTGCGCAGGGGCCATGCTAATCTTCTCTGTATCGTTCCAATTTTAGTATATGTGCTGCCGAAGCGAGCACACCCCAGTCCTGAAACGTGATCTGAGTCTCTAGCATCATCTCTAATCTTCACAGAACCCTTTAAGGTCAATATAACAATTCCCATTTCACTAATGAGAAGACGGAGGTCCTGAGACTTGTCTGTGCTCCCACACTAGTGTTGGAAGGCAAGGAACCAATCCTCATTTTACCTCAACCCAAAGCCAAGGCTCTTCGGGCCTTGGCTGCTATACTTCAGTAATGTTCTTTTCGCCTATGGAATCCATTCAGTCACAGGTGGCTTTTAATGCAAGCAGGGAAGTATAGATTGTCTTCTTCAATTATATTGAATACAATACAATTCTATGTGCTATCTGTGGAAAGACATCATAACCTGAGATGAGAATCAGTAATGGGAAATCTTGATGCTGGCAAAAGCTTGACAGTTCTGTGTCAACAGTTTCCAAGATCCCTATCCATTAGGTACACCTCCTAACTGGAAGATGGATAGACATACAGACAGACCTGGGTTTTATTCTCTAATGTACCATGTACTTGCTGGGTCACCTGGAACAAAGTTCTTGGTCGGCTTGGCTTGCTTTCCCATCTGTAAATTGGAAGTGATAAGATCCACTGCACAAGACTGTTAGGAGGACTGCTGAAGATTTAAATCACCTGGCACAGGGAAGCTAAATTCCATCCTCTCCCCTTTCCCCCTGACTTTCTGCCCCTTAATCTTGGTGATAAACATTATTCATGGACTTCTCTTGGAGGCCCTGGCAAGGGTGAGTGATTCCTACCCAGAAATATGTATATAAAACTTAACTGCTGTTGCCCATACATTATGCCTTTTGCCACCCGTCTAGTCACTTCTCCATCTTTCATTCCATCACCCACTGACTTCCATTTATATACCCACATGTCTACCCACCCATCCTCCCACCAGTCCACAAATTCAGTCAACGGAATAGTCTCTTACTTGCGAGACTATGAGCCAGGCATACAGGATGCAAGTACTATCCAGACATGGTCTGCTTTTTAGAGTACTTTATAGACATGAGATGAGGAGAAATCCATCTGTGTGTCCAGATCTGACCTAGCAGGAAAATGGGGAGGGAGAAATTATGTGAAGTTAAGACCATTTCTTTTGCTTCAAGACTCGTCTCCTGTCTCCCTCACCCCACCTCATGGCTAGCTCCATCTCTACAATGAGACACATTGGGTTAATAGTGATTTCTGGCCATAATTGTACTGGGTCTGGAGTAGTTGACATTTCTCCCTCCATTGTTATTCTCTGAACAGAGTTACGGTCATTGATCCCCAGCTGCTGGAACTTGGCCTTGTGCAGAGTCCTAAAGGCCACCGTCTCTACGTCACCATCCCCCTGGGCCTGGGCCTCAGTGTGAAGACGTAAGTGAGCCCCTATTTGGTGCAAGAGAATGGTTCACCAAGGAGTACTCTGATGAACACAGGTAGCTAAAAGGGGGATGTTGCAGTCTGATAAATCTGAATCTCCAAATTTATTTATTTACTGCTATACAGAATGTTGTTGTTGTCGTTATGTACCATTGCATTAGAACCAACTCATAACTGACCCTCCAGTGGATTTTCAGAGGCTGTAAATCACACATGAGGAGATTCCCCATCTTTCTCCTGTGGGGCAGCTGGTGGATTCAAACTATGTGCCTTTAGGCGGGCGGTACAATTCCTTACCGCTACCACCAGAACTCTCTGAATAACCCAGAGAACTCACTTGATCTCTTTGAACCTTGGTTTCCCCTAATGGGAAATGAGATGAGTGTAGCTATGGATAAGATGGAGTGATACGAGACTGGTATTGACCATCTCCTCTGCAGGCCCGTGGTTGGAAGTCTGGTGAGATTGGATGTGAAGCTTAACGTCACTGCTGAGATCTTAGCTGTGAAAGATGGGCGAGGGCAACTCCACCTGGTCCTTGGCGATTGCACCCATGCCCCTGGCAGCCTGAAAATCTCCTTGCTTGATGGGTAAGGCCAGAGTGCATGACTTCAGCCTGCAGGCAGCAAGATGAATTGATGGATAAATGGTTTGACATATGGGACAATGGGGGCATAAATTAATGGGAAGCTGGAAGGGTGAGAGGGGGGATGGATGGATGGATGGATGGACAGACGGACAGATGGATGGGTAAAGAATCACTAATTCCTTCTTAAACCAGACCAATTGATTTTATTCTGAGTTTAAGACTCATCCACTCAGTGATACGTGAAAGGTAATACTCACTTTGGGTGAACCTGGACAGTGTTTCTCTAATTCTATATCTCAGCTTCAGTTTACTCATCTGTAATATGGAGCTACACTAAAGTTTTTGATAGAATCAGTAATATAGGAGGTATAGATGTGTTTCATCCTAGCAAAAGGTAAAATAGCTATGGATCCTAACTAAGTTACTTAGTTTAGCTACTGGTCACACTGGAACATGCAGAATACTCAGTCATTCTGATCACAGCTAACAGTTACTGAGTATAAATACTGTACTTCACATGTGTTATATTAAACAGTGTTCATTTGTGTATTCTACAAAGTCTTAGTGAATATCTACTATGTAGCAGAGCTATATGTCTTTATTCAACACACCCACTCCAACATGTTACTATTATGTGTAGATTGTAGCATGCAGCCTCCTCTTGGATAGACCCTTTGTGTCCACATGAAGAGTTCAATTGCTTAGTGGTGAGATGGATGGCCATAGTCTTCCCTCTGAAGTCTTCTCCATAGCAACTCCATACTTCCACAGATTCAACATTACTTCATGGTTTTTCTCTTTCAGAATTGCCCCTCTCCCTGTTCAAAGCCTTGCCAACAGCCTTACTGGAGTCTTGAATAATGTTCTTCCTGAACTGGTGCAGAGCAAGGTAAGCAGGCATATGTGGGAGTCTTCCGATCTTAAGTCTTAGAGATTCGTTTGAGAGAGATCACTGGGATGATCTTGCCTAAGCCCCTTGGTCTGAGAAATAATTTTCATCCACCCTTTCATCCATTGATCCATTTGTCCATGTTTCTTTTTCTCATCCTTTAAAATGCATTGATTCACTCCACACTGAATCTGGAATAGACTGGCCTCCGACTCAAGACGCTCCCAGTTTGATCTTCTATAGATTCAGAAAGCCATTTCCCAGGTTGTGCTTGGCATCCTCTGAAACGAAAAACTCAACCCTTTTAAAGCAATCCACTCTATTTAAAAGTAGATGTATGTCCATCAACAATTGAATGGACAGAGAATCTATCATGTAGTCACACAATGGAATATTATACAGCACTGAAAAACAACGAATTCCTAAAACACTACACAACAGGGATGAGTCTAGAAGCCATTATGCTGAGTGAAATAGCTCAATCTTGAAAGGACAAATACTACATAAGTTGTAATAATAGGGTTGATATGGAGGGATGGATGGGAAAAGAATGGCTAGTGAACACTGCAGTGGAATGGGTAGAAGGAAGACAGTTTGAAAGGAATGGTTGGTTAGAAATTATAAGTATTGGGGAGCTCTGGTGGCCTAGTGACAAGGAGCTGCAACTACAATCCCAGAGGAGCATGGTTCGAATCCACCAGATGCTCTGCCAGGGAAGGAGGGACAATCTCCTCCTGTACCAGTCAGATCTGATTTGACGGTACACTCACACAAAAATAATAAAATAAAAATAAATAAAAAGAAATTATAAGTATGACAGCCTGGAAGAAGACAAGATTTGAGAGAGGAAGGAAATGCGCATGCCTGAATGAATGAAACCAATCTTTCTGTGAACCTTCACTAAAATAAACTAACATTTAAAAAAAAATTTTTAAAGAAGTAGAGGTGGTATACCACATAGTAAACTCAGACATGTTGTATGATTCATGGCTTCAGTTTTTCCTGGTGCATTATGTGGGTATGGTATGGCTTTGAATCAAACACCTCAGATAATAGGAAAAATTACAGAAAAATCTCCCCCCAAAATCCATCCTGTGATGCTGCCACCACCCAGTATTGCTTTCTGACTCCTCTCTGCCACAGGTGTGCACTCTGGTCAATGGGATTCTTGGTGACTTGGATGTCACCTTGGTGCATGAGATTGCCGGTACGTATCCATTCACTCCTAAGTCATCTTACACCCTTTGTAGATGCAACAGTTTCACATGGGAAGCTTTGTTCTGTGGGCCAGAAGGTAATCAGATCTCTGGTCTCACTCTCCCCCTTTTTAAGCTATTTTGAGTTTTCTCATTGACTCTGAGAAATACAGACACATTTGAATATACACTCTGTCTCCTTAAGTCAAATCTGATATAGAGAACAGCTGATGGTGACCCTGAGCCTGAAAGGAGAAGTGACCTTCCATGAGCCCAACCTGAGGTGGTACTTATGGAAGCGCTTATCCTATGGCCCCAGGCATCAGCAGGAATGAGGGGTCTTTCTGGACTCCTTCACACTGATCTTTTTTATTTTGCTTCCCAGACATGCTGATCCATGGGTTGGAATTTGTCATCAAATACTAAACCTTCCCAGAAGGGTCCTGGCTTCTCCTGAGCTGGTGAGTGTCATGTGTGGACATGATGATGGGCATGGTGATTTCTGACCCTACTCATCATTTCCCAGGATTTGTAGAACTGGCTGTCCTTCTGGAGGGGGCAGCAGAGGATGTGGGATAGTGACCTCCAAGGAGAGAGAGTGACATCCCTGCAGATGCCAGAAACACTGACAAGTAAAGCAATACAGTAGCACAGCTTCAAAGAGAGACACACATGGTCATGGACACACAGACACACATATGCATGCACATACATGTAAATGCCCATATAGCCAACCATATGGTCACTCAGATGCACACATTCACACATATACACACACAAGAATAAATGGGTGCGTGCACGCGCGCGCGCGCGCGCACACACACACACACACACACACACACAAACTCACTCAAATACATGTACAGAGAACTCTAGCCCCAGGCCTGGAATGTCTTCTTGTTGAAACCAGACCTATAGCCCCAGGGTCTCAGCCCTGTCCCCCTCCTAAGGATAGTGGGGTTGGTGGTAGGCCAGTAGTAGTTAGAATCGATGATTGTGAGTCTTTATTCTGACTGAGGTCTTCTCTCTACAGAAATATTTCCTAATACTCAACTTACTCCTACTACCTACACCCTGCTCCCTGCCCAGCTTCCCAGGACTCCCAGGGCCGTGCACTACGACACAGTCACCATTTTTTAACTGAACAGCCTTCTTTCCACAGGAACTGTCCCCTTCATTGCCCACCTGGTATGCATTACTCCCCATGATCCTCCCCAAATAAACTTGCTCTTTTCTGCACTGGGGGTCTTGTTGTCATTCTTCATCATTACTTAAAGGTTTATGGTTTGGAAAGAATATTTACCTGGGAGGATAAGACCATAGAATAAGGTTTGGCCTGTGTATTGTAAATCTTAAGGGTCTTAAGGAAGACGAGAAGAAGTTTTGGTATATGTGAATTTCTTACTTATTGAGCAGTTGTCCTTAGGAAAAGGGGACAGGAAAATGCAGGAAGATTTCATAATCTATACAGAGGTGATGACACCAGTTACACAAAAAGAGCGATAAGGGTGATTCTGAGAGATATTTGGGAGGTGAGATTAGAAGGTGGAAGTCAGGGGAATAGATGAAGCCCCATTCATATCTCAAGTTAGGGAACCTCAGGATAACTGGGAATGTGGGAGGGTAAATGGATTCCAACAAAGAGATGATGCCTTCACTTGTGACCCTATGCGTGGAAGTTTTCCAGGAAGCAGGACATCTATCACTTGGTCATCTTCTTTTGCTCACCTGGCTCCAGCCATATTTGCCTCTTTTCTGTATCCTAAGCAAGAGGATGATAAAGATGACAAGAGGAATGTTAGGGGAAAGGACAGACTGGTTCAAAGTGCTAATTGTTGAACAACTAGAAGAAACCTCCCTGGGAGATTCTCCAGCTTCAGACCTTGGCTGAAAGCCCATGTGGTTCAGTCAATAAGATCCACCACGCCACACACGTCCATCTCAGACGCGAGGCCTGAGGGAATCCCGTTTAGATCCTGTCATCAATTCCCAGTTGAGTGGAATAGTAAATCCATGGATCTTCTCATGATTTAAACAACATCCTCTTGTTAAAGCGTGAGTCTAAAGAGAAGAGAGTAAGACAGCAGCCGTACAGAGTAGTCTTCCTAGAATACTACTTCAAGCCTTTTGATTGAAACCTACTATATAACTCACTACACTTTGGACTCTGCTTCAAAATCTTCTACTTCCTGATTCCTAGTTACCCACAGTACCGTTCTTCCCTACAACTCCAGCTTCCCCTCACATGGCCTCTTAGCCTTAGTCTTTCCTATGAATCACCCTGATTTCACCCCATCGCTCGTTCCTTCTCCCCCCTTTTTTAACTCTTATTCCCCTTTAAGATCTAACCACTGACTTTCTCCAAAGAGCTTCTCTATCTACTTTATCCTGCTCTGCAGCTTTTCTTTGCTGGACATCTTCACTTCAGGCAGATGGCACCATTCCTTTTGCTCAAAGGTATAAAAGGGGAATAGTTTCTATTCTTGACATTTTCTACTGATATCTTTAACTTATCTCTTTAATTAGATGCTCAATGCCCTGAGGGAAAGGATTGTATTGATTTTTAAAATAGAAAAAAAAAAAAGCAGTAAATGGTTTCTGTTCAGAGAAACCAGGGTCCCAGGACACCCTGCCTTGTTTATGGGCTGATTATTAAGTTCTCTCCTTTGCATATTTTACAGAAGTCTTCAGGGTCATTCTTGAGTACTTCACCCAAGATACCGTATCTAAACAGTGTGTAAGCCACTACTGAAAATGGTTATTTCGTATATTAGGTCTTGTGACCACCAGAAGGAGCTGTTGCACTTAATCTACTATCCACAAGAAAAAAACAAAACAGAACAAAAACCCAAACCCATCACGCTTAAGTCGATTCTGACTCATGGATCCTCCATCAGATTTCCAAGACCGTACATCTTAACAGGACTAGACAGCGACATCTTTCGCCCAAGGAGCAGCTGGTTGGTCCAAACCTTTCTGTTACCCGCCCAATATATTACACAGTGTGCCACCAGGGCTCATTGATATTGTAACTTCCAGCAGGGATTAAAAACCAAGAACCCAATCTACTGCTGCTGGGCTGATTCTGTCATAGCAACCCTGTAGGACAGTGGAACTGCCCCATAGGGATCCCAAAACGAAATCTTCACAGAAATACACTGCCACACCTTTCGCTCCACAGCTGGTGGCTTTGAACCTTCAGCCATTTGTTTAGTTGTTGAGCATCTTAACTACTGTGCCACCGGGGCTCTTGCAGCTGTAATTAGAGTGATTTTTAAAAACAATTTATTCGGCAGTGACTATGGTCCCAACTTGCCTGAGTGGTGTAGTCAATACACTTGGCTGCTAGCTAATCCAAAGGCTAGAGGTTTATGAATGTTACTGTGCCATCAATCCCCTAGTTTGTCCTTCTCACACGGGCAAAAAAATTGTACCAGGCAGAAAGGCTAGAGAAGGGGATGGTGCCCGAGTACCAAGGTACTACAGCACATAGCAATCTTAGGGTTCCTTGGGAGTGCAGGCCCTAGTGCACAAAGCATTAAAGTGTAGGCTGAAGCTTTTTACTAGAGCACAAGAATGAGAAGGATGAGATTAAGAAGTATAAGTGAAGGTAATATCATAAAGGCAGATTTATTAGAAAGTTACATCCTCTGTGGGACAGACCTCTGTCCTTGAAATAGGGAGAGGGAGTTTGCTAGGAAGGTGAGATCCTACTTAGGGCCTCTTCCTCTGGGTGGATCGCAGGGCTGGAGTCTGGGCCAATGACATGATGCCACAGAGAGTTCAAAGTTTACTGAATGGTCTTCATTCTGGTCCCAGTTCTCTAATGTGCCCAAAGTGTCCACTACTTCTGACATCACTTGTGCACCCAAAGCACCAATTCTATGCATGTCAATTTTGGCTTCCTGGTTCTGGTAGCTTGATTTTCCAAGCATAAACTTTTTGCCCCTCTTTTTGGTTCTAATCCTAACAATGCCCACCTAGAAATATTCACTTCAAGGTGCCTCAGAAGAAAGACTGATGATCTGCTTCCAAAAAAACCAGCCATTGCACACCTTATGGAACATAATTCTACTCACACACCTGGAGTCACCATTGGTCAGAATTGACTCTATAGCAGCTGGGGTGGGCTTTGTATCCCTCCTTAAATGGAATTCTAATTCAATCATCAGAGAGATGAAGATGAGCATTGGATCTAGAATTCAAATCCTAGCAGTCAACCTTCACAATCCAGGGTCTTCATCAGGAATTGTATATTTACAACACTCCAGCCAAATCTGGTACATTATCTTTAATATGTGGTTATTCTCCAACTGAGTGTCAATTGTAAATTCATTCCTTCAATCTCCACAATACACAAATATAAACTTTCTTGTCCTTTTATATTCTTGATTCCTAAACTAAGATTGTTAGGTTATAAGTAAAAAACAAGATGTGCAATTAAATTTACATTTCAGATCAATGGTGAATTATATTTAAATGTATGTCTCATTCAATATTTGGTACATGTTTACACGAAAAAAATTACTCACCACTTACATTTCAAATTTAACTAGGTGTCTTAATGTTTTATCTTTAGCCTAGAGGCACTTGTATTTATAACTCTTGCTCTGTGCTCTATTACCTGACATTGCTGTTAATGTCATTATGTGCCATGGAGTCAGAACTCATTCATAGCTGACCTTCCAGCAGGTTCTCAGAGACTGCAAATCACACAGGAGGAGGATGCCCCTCTTGCTCCTGCAGAGCAACTGGTGGATTCGAACCATTTGCCTTTGGGTTGGCAGCATAATACCTTACTCACTAGGCCACCAGGGCTCCCACCGTATTCCCTCAGAGAAGGAACTTTTTCTTGAGTATCTACTGGCTTGGTGGTAAAGAATTGTGCTGCCAATGCAAAAGTGCATGGTTTGAATCTATCAGCTGCTCTGCAGGAGAAAGATGGGCAATCTACTCCCCCAGCCGGTCAGCTAGGGATCAGTTCCCGCTTGACGGTACACACAACAACAATCTACTCTTGTGTGCTAATTTTCAGTGAGTCCCAGAATTTTTAAAAGCTCTACAGCAGCTCTAAGCTTTAGTTCAAATTGTATTGTTGATCAGGTGTATCTTTTGGTGATAAATAAAGATGTCATGTGGAGTTTCTGGCCAGCCCCAGTAAGGAAGTCACAGAGAGGATTTCTACAGTTCAGGAGTAAGACCGTGCCATCTGCAGCAAATATCTATACACCGTCAGAAAAATGACTCCTGGCTTGCTGCCGGACCAGGGCTGTGAGGGAGCATCTGGCCATGGACATCAATTGACTGTGAAGTGAGGCCAGAAATGCCAATCATGACCCAGGTCAGATCCACCAAGTCAAAAGGTCAGGAATGACCAATGGCAATCCACCATCAGAAAGAAGCGGTCCATCTAGTTTGTGTTCATG